AATAAAACTCATTACATCTTTCACTATAGTTCTCCTCGTTGCATTTGCTTTGGTTAGTTAAGGTAATGAATGTGTAAACTATTAAGAAATAGGTATCAACCGGAAGGAGTTGACTCGTTTTATTTCCGATAGAGTATAATATACTAACATCGAGTTCTAACTGCTATGCAACCATATTACAGATCTACATTTCAATTCGTAATACACATTTTTTTGCAAAAATTAAATTGACAGTCTTAATTTTAATATATTCTATTTTTTTTTTTTTTTTTTACAGAAATATGTAAGTGAATTGTATATAATAAACTAGTTATCATGTATGTCAGATATTATATATGTCACCTCATAAATCATCAACAATTTATTTTTTGAAACTTTATTAAATAATACATTTTTAAAACTATTTAATAATATAAATTAAAAAGGCAATATAAAATGTATAAGTCCAATAAAATAAGTGATATTCTTAATATAGGATCATAGAAATACATTTTAAATTTCAAATTTAGTTACATTTCTATTAATTTAATTCTATAGAGAATGGACTTGTAATTTATGTATATTTAATTACAATCGAGGTCCCGTGATATAGACGAATTTCCGAAGGAATGACCTTACTGCGTCATTGGATACAAAACTAATCTTCCAAAAACAACGTACAAAGCGATTTTTACCTAATGTGGAACGGTCTCGAACAAACTACAGTCTAGTAAATATACAAGGTAAAATATAAAATATGTTCATATTTTTTTTTAAACTTAAATTAATTGGAAAGAATTGTAAAATGATTTAGTAAAAATTTGAGAAAATTAAACATGTATTAACAATTTATACATACTATAATTTTTAATGGTGCTATGAAAAATAAATATACCAATTTTTTTTAAATAATAATTACCAAATGTATCTTTATTCTTAATTTAAAATATCAACATTAATAAAATAAACATGTAATATATATATATTTAATCAATGATATCAATATCTAATATCTAAGAACTTTAAAATTAATTAAATATTCATATAAATTGATACATTGAAAATACGTAAAAATTCCGTTTAATACACTAATAGGTTAATATTTTAAACGGGACTATAACTTACACTATATACTTATAGGTTTTAGGAGGGGGAAACAAATTCATACATATTTTATACTTATTCTAATATTAATTTTTTTCTATGGGATGATTGGGGGAGTGCACTCTCCAAAAAGGCACTCATGCATACACCTAACCTCTCCAATTAGAATACGATTAGCGATGCAATTTAAAGTAAAACATTTTTTATAATAGAAAACGATAATATTTTTATTTTTTTTATTTTTAACATCATTAACTGTATGTTACTACTAAAAATAAAACAAATACTAATAACTTTTCTTACAATTCACATAAATATAAATAAATTAAATTATTTGAATGTTGATTTGACAGTTTATTTTCATTTTTCATTGCATACTACTAAAATATTTAATGAATATTAAAAATGAATTAGCCAAATAATAGAATAATTACAATTCATAAAAACGAAAAGCATTGGTTGATGAAATAAAACAATTATGAAATGAATTTAGTGTACGATAAAATGTATGCATAATACATAATAATTATAACTATCCCTCAAAAAATTACCAATTTTACCAAAACACTATTGATCAATATTCGACATGCCTTAATACACGCTATGCAGAACCATATTATAAAATTTCACAATGTTTTTATACGATTAAAGTATGAAATAAAATATTTTACTTCCAAAAGTAAAAAAAATACAAATAAATATTTAATATAATTATTAGTACATATGATATAAATGAATAGCCCTAGTTCTTTTTACGATTAAAAAACATTTTATACGAAATTTTATCACATCTTGAAAAAAATAAACTTTTCAAAAACAATGAATAGAAAATCGTGAAATTTAGAGGAACTATAAAATTTTGGTAATTATAAATTAAGTATTACTAATTAGATATAATATTTATCAATTTATTTTAATGTCTTAAGTTTAATACTAGCAAATGCATGATAATAGCAATGCATGAAATGAAACACATTTGTTCTTGGAGGGAGTATAGCTATAATCACTGAACTAAATATATTTGTTGTAATATAACTAATTTATCATGATATACATGGGTTAAAACTAGTGATGGGAACAATCGAGTGAAAATAATCGAATCATATGAGTAACTATTATATTAATAATTACTAATAAGATATATTAGCATATTTTATATTATATATATATATAGTAAATAGTTAGGTTAGAATTTAATGAAAATATTACTAATAAACTCAAATTTTAATAAGTAATAATAACTTATAATCAAATATTATTTTACTCTACTAATCTGTCAATCATAAATATTTGATCTCATACTTAAATTCATAGAACAAAAGTAATTATCTAATAATCCATCATCACGAATCATATAAATCAATAATCATTGTTATAATACTTATTTAATAGTTTTTTTAATTTATTTATTTGATATTTTTATTCCACATTTCTTACATTAAATTTTTTTAATTAAATTAAATGTTCTTACATTAAATTGTTTCATTAAATGAATTTCAAATATCAAAAATTAAATTTAAATTTTTGATATTTGAAATTTGTAAACAATATTATTTTGTTACGTGTAATTTACATAAGTAACTCTTAGTTATAATATTTATTTATAATTTATTAATTTGTACATGTACCAATACTCCACGGTCTTGTTTACAAGACCGTACCATGTGTTACATCTTCATTTGTATAATTCATGATAAATATAATATATATATCACTTATGGAAAAAAATTAAAATATTTCGGTTTAATAATAATATTATTATTATTATTATTATGACAATATAACACAATTATTCCTGTTTAACTTTAAATAATATTTAAAGATATTAACAAGTAAATAATAAAGATGTATAAAATATTAATTGTAACTATTTGAAAAAGGTCTATTTGAAGCCCGAGCCTACTAGACCTATTCACTGGGAATTCCACTGTAATAATATAACATAATTTTTAACTACCTAATATATTTTTATCAATTATAAAAATTAAAAACCTAACTTATATCTGAAATAGGAAATATTTTAAATTTTTTATATAAAGTTTTATACGCGTATATTACTATTACTCTACATTTCCAGAGAACCAAATTATATTTAAAAAGCTCTATAAAAAAAAAAAAAACCTAAATATATTTTATTTAATAATAATTAAGTACTAAGTAATGCATTATAAGTTGCTTGTTTTAACCTTTAGGCATTGGTTAAAGTGGGAGGATGGAGTCTCCCTTCTTATATAAGGTAAGATTATGCGTCCTTTTTAATTTAAGTCGTCAAAAGTCCGGGTAGACGCTTAATGGCATTGGTCACTAAAATACAATATTGAATATACAATACTTATTATATATTACAATATTAATTGAAATTTATTTTCTTGATTAACTTGAAAAAGTAGAAAAAATTTCGAAGAAATATCATGTAGATATAACGATAAGCAAAAATGGTAGATAATGTACACCATGGGTTAATTTAATTGACACTGTGTCTAACTATAGATGATCTCCAAGCGGTTATTGCCCATAGCTCTAAAATTAAAGTGATAGTGAGATCGACTATTATTTAGAATAAATATAAGCAGAATAGAATAACTATAAAAAGTATAAATATTAAATTGTGATAGAAGATAGACACTATCTTATATATAGTACACACCTTATGTGCAATGTACGTATTTGTTACTGTCAACGTTGACCAACAACTAGCAAGATTAATAATTGTTTTTTTTTTTTAGTTTTGTTAAGTTTAAGTTAAGTTTTTTAAACATTAACTACTATGTATTTCAATTTATTTTTACTGAGCAGGCATATGTATAGAATTATTTTTCTTTAAGGGAAATTTGTTTTTACACCCTATGAAAATAAAGTTTTTATGAACACAAGGAAGAGAAAGTAACAGAAGAGGTTTAGACCTCATGGGTTTCCTAAAAAAGGTTAGTAAGATTTAGAATTAGGTAGGGGAACGCTCCTCAATTTTTGATGAATATAGTCCCCCCACTCAATTTTTCCCATTTTAACCACTGCCTTTAGGGTACCATTAGCGGCGTGTTAAAAGTAAAATTGCTGTTTCCTGAGGCAAGAATTAAATACCCATAAATAATATTCATGGCAATGTATTTATACTCAAATTTTTGATATAAATCGACTGCAAACAATTTGACCTATTTCTATTTAACTTCTTTCGTTTTTCACAATGAGCTGGCGAATATTTAAGCTATTACCAATCTAAACACAACGATGTGATATAAATGTAACAGGATTAACAAGGGTTTTATGAAGTACAAACAATTATATATATTTATTATGATAGTTGATAATACTAATACGTTCTTATCTTATCTGATACGTATCAGTCGTTATCAATCCTATTTTGCAACGGTAAATTGATTTATTTATTACATTTGAATTGTTTGAACATATGTACATTATTTTTAAAATGTTACATATTTAACAAATTTATAGCAGTAGTAATAGCAATAAAGTAAATTTATAATACCGAGCATAGGAATATCTTATCATTTCGAATTATCATGTACTTTAAGAAAATAATTTCGATTGTAGTTATGCAATTATAAATATTATTGCTCCTAAGTTCTATTATGGGCAATCATAAAATATACGTAAAAACCCAAACACAAATCGGAAATACAACATAAACTATATATAAAATCGGTGAGCAATATTGAACGTGAATTATTGATGAAAATTACTCATCATCGCCTAATCCCATGCAAAATATGACTCGATCTGCGCACTCAGCCCTTACACGGTTTGACTAACCAAACTTGGTTATACACTTGCGTAGCAGCTAATGAAAATATTAATGTCATTTGCTTTCTTTATTATCTGCGATTACTTATTTCTTAACATTTATTTTACCCAGATGTACGACAGTACAGAATATTATTGATATTTTAATAACTGACCTGCATTAACGGCAACGAAGTAACGTGTTCAACGTTTTTCATTTTTGATTGAAAATCCCTGTAGACATGTCTCCTCTTATAAAACGAACAGACGTTCCTATTGCAACTGTGATAATAGTTGTCGTTCCACATAATTTCGACTAGACGACCGGTAGCAACGGGAACGTAAGTCAATTGGTAAAAAATAGTGATAAGCCGTTCGTAATCGACGTTAATGAGTAAGAGTGACGAAAGCACAATTATAAATATTTATGAGTATTATTAAAAATATTCATAAGCGTAAAGGCGAATAAATATGTGTTTGATAATTGAATAATTAGAAAAACGAAATTATTTTATCGACGAGACACGAGACAGTGAGGACACGGCCACACGAGTAGATGACGACAGGAATTATAAACGTAACAAATGTCAACCTTTATCTACATTACTTTTTTTCTATTTTTTTTTTTTGAAAAAAACGTCCGGATTAGTCGCTCTCCGCCACTTCACACAGTGTTGTACAGCAACAATAAATACGAATTTCCATTGGCGCAGCTTAAGGTCGACTGTCGTCAGGTGAAAAGTGCGCAATGTTGCCGGTCTTACATCATAGTGGATAATATAGTGTTTGGCATACCGTCGTTTTTCGTAGTCTTAATGTATAATACTTTTAATTTACCACTATACGCATAGTTTAATCGTCTTCTGCAATATTTTAATTTCATAAATTATAGCTTTGTAAACAAATACTTCACTCAATATCATGTTAAGGGTCTTTCATTTTAACAAACGGAATTTTTCCATCCATGCTTTTGTTGCCTTACGTAATACCATCTATAACACGGAAATATTAGATATATTTATATCACGATTTTTCGTTATCACATTGAAAAAACAAAACAAATAAATGATCGATCCGAAATTTGAGTTGAGCCAATGGTATTAAAACTACTACATTATGATGACCCTTGAACTATAAGCCAAAATGTAAGAACCTTAAATGATATTTATTTGACGGCATGTTGGGCCGTAAGCAAAGCATTCGAGTGGATATAATGGCTCCTGACTATGTTCAGGAGGAGTCTCTAAATGAGAACGCTGAAATTGATTGGGTTAATAAGGTAAATTCGTCAACAAAAGTATTTTATAATTATATAAAAAACGTTTCTGGATTTTTTTCGTTTGTTCTTTAGCTATGGGTTCGAAGATTGATGCGCTTTTGCGCCTTGCTGAGTTTACTGTGTGTCAGTTTGAACACTCCAAAAACCTTCAAAGTCTTTCCATTTTTACAGTATGCAACGTTTGTTTGCGATTTTGCTGTTACTGGTTTATATACTGCTGAAATGATTGCCAAAATGCACATACGTGGAATATTGAAAGTAGTTATTACTCTTCCATAACAAGAAGTACAGTAAAATTTCAGTAATCCGGCTATTTTAGCCTACATGTACCAATATGTATTTATATGTAAAATTACAATCGTTAACGATAAAACGTTAAATAAAACTAAATAATTACAGATTAAATAAGTATAAACCTTAATTATAATTATAATATATATATTATAAACCTTTGATTTTTTTAAACCTGTTTCATCAAAATATTAATTAAATATAACCATGTACTTATTATTTATATTTTATAATAATAATTCATTTTTTTTTATATCAGTAAAAATGTAAAATTTAATAAGTAAAAATGTGTTTTTATGTGAAAACCCCGTTAATTCACTTTTTTCATTAATCCGTAATTACCATGGTCTGATTTGTGTCAGATTACTGAGATTGTACTGAATTAAGAACTAAATATATTTTAATTTTATTTTTTTGTTTAGGGCGAATCACCTTATATGAAAGATCACTGGTGTCAATTTGATGGCACAATGGTATTTTTCTTATGGGTGTCTGTAATATTACAGATTTTTGAAATCGTGGAATTTTTACCTGAATTCAGTTATCTATCAATACTCAGGGCACCAAGGCCTTTCATTATGATTCGATTTATACGTGTCTTCCTAAAATTCTCAATGCCAAAATCAAGAATAAATCAAATATTCAAGTAAAACAATATTATATACATATGTCTAATCAGTATAATCAATTAATATTGAATTTTTTTAGGCGATCAAGTCAACAAATCTATAACGTATCACTTTTCTTCCTATTTTTTATGTCTTTATATGGTGTACTTGGTGTTCAACTATTTGGTGAAATGAAGAATCATTGTGTTCTTAACACTACAGACCCAATGTATATGATAGTTTTTTTCAAATTTGTTAAATTTTAAATTTTTTTTTCTGATAAGAAATTATTCAACAGGCATGTTACACTTAATAACTTGGCTATACCAGACTCATTCTGTTCTAAAGAACCAGGTGCTGGGTATCAGTGTCCAGAGGGTATGAAATGTATGAAATTAGAATTATCAAGGTACATAACTGGCTTTAGTGGATTTGATGGATTTGGTAAATCATAATGTTTTATTTATAAAATATACCTAACTATTAATTTTAGTTCTGTATTAAATATTTTTATATTCTAGCAACAAGTATTTTCACTGTATATCAAGCTGCATCCCAAGAAGGTTGGGTGTACATTATGTTCCGGACATTTGACAGTCTTCCAGCCTGGAGAGCTATTTTTTACTTTTCTACCTTAATATTCTTCATAGCATGGTTAGTTAAGAATGTTTTCATTGCTGTCATCACTGAGACATTTAATGAAATGCGTGTACAATTTCAACAATTATGGGGAAGTAGAAGACACGTTGGAAATAAAACTTCCACCGAAGTAATATTAATAAAAACATTTTTAATAGTTTTCTAAACTAATTGTTAAATTTTAAATTATTTCATTTTTTGATTATTTATGTATTATTTATTTTAATGTAATTTAATGTAAATAATTATATTTTAGATTCTAGTAAGTGATGAAAATGGCTGGAGATTAGTAACTCCTGAACAAAATAAACATCGGACATTAGCATCACCATTAGGACATAAAATTCTTAATTCTGCTTGGTTTCGATTACTTGTTATGTGCATTATACTTAGCAATGGTATTGCAATGGCTACTATGAATTTTAAACATGATAAGCGACAACGACATGAAATTTATGAAAAATATTATTATATTGAAGTAATAATTTTTTATCAAATTATCATTATTTGTTTAATTTTTACAATTTTATATTTTTAGGTTGTATATACAATCATTTTTAATTTTGAAACATTATTTAAAATGGTTTTACTGGGCTTCAAAGAATATTTTAAACATTCATACCATAAGTTTGAATTAATGCTAGCTGTTGGTACTACTTTACATATTGTTCCTCAATTTTATTTATCTGAATTAACTTATTTTCAGGTTAGTCAATTTTCTTTATTAAAGTGTATATGTTAACAGAATTGTTTGTTTAGGTCTTAAGGATTGTTCGATTAATAAAAGCTTCTCCAATGTTAGAAGATTTTGTTAATAAAATATTTGGACCAGGAAAAAAACTAGGAAGTCTCATCATATTTACTTTGTGTTTATTAGTTATTTCTTCTGGTATTTCCATGCAACTTTTTTGTTTTTTATGCGATTTTTCAAAGTTTGAAACTTTTCCTGAAGTAAGCCTGAATTATTTTTTATAAATTTTAAGTAAAAATATATTTCCTGCCTTCATTTTCAGGCTTTCATGTCAATGTTTCAAATTCTTACTCAAGAAGCCTGGGTTGATGTTATGGATGAAACTATGTTACGTACCCGTAAAACATTCATAGTACCATTAGTCGCTCTCTATTTCATTCTTTACCATTTGTTTGTAACTCTTGTAAGAAAATGATCTATTTTAGAAGTTAAAAACAAATTCTTGTAACTATATAATTTATATTAGATTGTACTAAGTCTTTTTGTTGCGGTTATTTTGGATAATCTTGAACTTGATGAAGAGTTGAAAAAGTTAAAACAATTACGTTTTCGTGAACAAAGTGCTGAGATTAAAGAAACACTTCCATTTAGATTAAGAATATTTGAAAAATTTCCAGACCGACCTAAAATGACTTCTATTCATAAGCAACCATCTGATTTTAATTTACCTAAGGTAAAATAAGAATTTTTTCTGTGTATATAAAAACATAATAATATTTGTTGTATTTTATTTTTAGGTCCGTGAAAGTTTTATGAGGCAGTTTGTTTTAGATAAAACTGACGAAGAAACATCTCCAGAAAATTTAAATAAAGCTATTGAAGTAATTAAACCACCCTTAATAACTCGTAAACAGCATCCTATACATTTGTTATCCAACCCACCCAAAGTGCGAACAGTAACACCAGAAATTCGTAAATCAATTATATCAAATATAATTAAGTAATTATTGTGTGAACATTTTTAGTTTAAATCATTATTTGGTTATTAAAATTAAAAAATTACTTTTAGTGATTCTAATAATCAACGTTTACTTTTGGGAGATTCAACATTTTTGCCTCCTAGTGCTGGTAATAAAGGTGGGTTGCACACTCAAGGCACTGTTAATAATATGCAACATTCACGAATGGATCATAAAAAGTATTAACATTAAATAATAATTAATTATAATTTTTATTATTTATATACGTATTTTTGAATGATATGAAGATCTATGAGACATAGTATTCGGCGAGGATCAATGAAGCTCAAACAAACATATGAACATCTTATGGAAAATGGAGATATTGGTGGTATGAATCGTTTAGCTACAGCCACACGAGCTAGACCTCATGATCTTGATATAAAATTATTGCAAGCAAAACGACAACAAGCAGAAATGAGACGCAATCAACGGGAGGAAGATTTACGTGAAAATCATCCATTATTTGACACTCCTTTATTTATTGTTCCAAGAGAATCAAAATTTCGTAAACTTTGTCAATTAATTGTATATGCTCGATATGATCTAAAACTTAGAGATCCACTTACAGGAGAAGAGCGACAAATTAAATATAAGGGTTTTCAGTAAGTTATTAATTTTGTGATTATTTAATTCTTTATAAAAAATTATGTTACTTATTTTATTTGGAAGACATTTTTTCACAATATTTTATTTTAAAATATTATTATAAAAAAAAAAATATTAAAAAAAATTACTTTAAATAACTATATAAATAAATTACATTTTATTTTTATTTTTATTTTTCCAAGTTCTATTTGTTTTTAATACTCAATTATTTTCTATATGTGTATTCACTGATCTATATTATACATTCATTTACTCCATATTAATTTCAACATATTTCTATACGGCTAGTTATAAATTTAAAAAAGTTAAATACACTAAATAGTAACAGTAAATATTAATTATAATACAAATTAAGTTTTAAATAATTATTTTTTTTCATCTTAACAGCAACTTTTTGGGATTAGTAACTTATTTGGATTGGTTAATGATATTGGTGACTACACTAAGTTGTATATCAATGATGTTTGAAACACCTTTTTATCGTGTAATGGAAACTCCAGCTTTGCAGATAGCTGAATATGTATTTGTATGCTTTATGAGTATTGAGTTAGCATTAAAAATTTTGGCTGATGGAGTTTTTTTTACTCCCAAAGCATACATGAAAGATGCAGCTGCTATATTAGACATATTTGTTTATGTGGTGAGTTACTTTTTAAAATTGTAAAGAATAATTATATAGTTCACTATTTTTAATTTTAGACAAGTTTAGTATTTTTATGTTGGATGCCAACTAATGTTGCAACAAATTCATCAGCACACTTGTTAATGATTTGCCGATGTGTACGTCCTTTACGTATTTTCTCACTAGTTCCACACATGAGAAAAGTAGTTGATGAATTATGTCGTGGATTCAAAGAAATTTTATTAGTTAGTACAAATTATATTTATAATACTCTGTATATTAGAAAACAAAATATATAATAAAACTATTCAACTCTTATGAAAATTTAAATATTTATTTTTTTTTAGGTATCAGTACTATTAATTGTTTTGATGTTTGTATTTGCCAGTTATGGTGTTCAAATTTTTGGTGGGCGTTTAGCTCGATGCAATGATCCATTAATTAAACGACGTGAAGACTGTACTGGAGTTTTTATGCGTAAAGTTTATGTTACAAAAATGAAAATGAAACCTGGACCAAATGAAACTTATCCAGCTATTTTGGTGCCTAGAGTTTGGTAAGTGGAAATCTACTGATCAATTTATTGTCATACGGTCAGGGTCGGATTTAGGATTTGTTAGCCCCTAGACTCAACTGTGGTGTGGGCCCTACCAGAATATTTTTAGGAAATAGGAAAGGCTTATGCATAAATAGAGAGACTAAGCCTTCTCTAAAATATAAATGTTGTGTATTTTTCAAAATTTAAAGGTCTAAGCTTTCCCCCCCCTCCCAAATTTGTTATGCTCTTACTATATAAATCCTAAAAGAATGTTCAGAATAGACCTTTAGCTCTCCTCTCTATTCTCAAACACTATTTGTTACAGTTTAATCCATCTCTAAAACATTTTCAAATCATTTTCTTCCTAAAATCGATCTTAGTGCAACTTTTTAACTTATAGTTTTTGCCTGAAAAAAATAACATTTAAAATATACTTTTAAAGTGTAGATTCAATTACTACATAATAGTTAAGGTATTCAACACTATTTATAAACATTGCAACAATAGTAATTAAATTAACAATATAATATATGATATAGATTAATAAACAATAATAACTAGGTTTAAAAATTATATACTATTTTATTAATATGTAATTGTTGAACTATAATAGCTTATGCTGAAAGTTCTAAAATAAAAAAAAATAAACAACTAGGTTTAAAAGTTAAAATTTTGATTGATTGATGTCTTAATTTTGTATTGATGAAATTACTTATATTTTCATAATTCATTTGTTTAAAATTTCACTCTCAATGCTAAGTAAAAATAACATGTGGTGAGGGTCGTGTTGTGGTGCCCATAGATTCTAGCCTATATAGCCTGAGCTGAAATCCGGCCCTACATTGGGTATATTTTAATATAATTCTAAGATAAAAACAAATTGAGGAATTATGATATATTCACAATGAAGGGCAAATCCGAGGCGCTTCAATTTCGATAATATAGGTTATGCAATGCTGACGCTGTTTGAAGTTTTATCATTCAAAGGCTGGCTGGATGTTCGTGATATACTAATCAGCGCTTTGGGATCAGTAATGTTCAATTTGTTTGCCATGATTGGGCATGCATCTTTCAAACTTTTTATTACAAAAGCTTAGGGGTTTAGCCCTAACTTAGAATCAAAGCATGGCTAAAATTAATTAATAATTCATATATATTTATAGCTTTATTATTTAGTACTTAATAATATTATAAGCTTTTAATTACAATGAATAATTATTTTTAAAAATATATTGACTTCTGTTACAGTCTAGGAAATCTAAATTTTAACTTGTGAGTTAAAAAAATGAGTACTTATTTGGCTAAATTGTATTTTATTCTCCAACACTTCCTAGTTTCGTTTTTCTTTTATATTTTTTTATTATTATGCTTAAGAAATCATTGAATACATTTAAATTTTGTGTGAAAGCATGGTGTTATTATAAGTTATGGTATAAAATATAGATACAATTAAAGTATACATTTTTTGTTTTTATTAGGCCCATGCTATATACATTCACATATTTATATTCTTGGGATGTATGATTGGACTAACTTTATTTGTTGGTGTTGTAATTGCTAATTACTCCGAAAATAAAGGAACTGCATTACTGACAGTAGATCAAAGGCGATGGTAATTAAAATGGAAATTATGTAATACATAGATGAAGTTTTATAATTCATGTTTGCAGGTGTGATTTAAAAAAAAGGCTGAAAATTGCTCAACCTCTTCATTTACCTCCCAGACCAGATCGTAGAAAATTCCGTGCATTTATTTATGATATTACTCAAAAAATTCATTTTAAGAGATTTTTTGCAGTTATTGTAATAATTAACAGTTGTTTATTATTTGTTTCGGTAACTTATTGTTTCTTTTATATCTTCTATGTTAATATTACAAACGTTGTATTATAATAGTGGCGTGCGGAAGAAGAACATACTGAACCATTATCATTAGTTAGTGCATTTCTCACTCTAATATTTGTAGCTGAAGTAATTATGAAAATTATTGCATTCACTGCTCGTGGTTATTGGCAATCACGTCGAAATCGATATGATCTTTTAGTGACTGTTTTAGGAGTGATATGGATATTTACACATTTTGCTTTTAAAGTAAATATTTAAAAAAAATATTCTTAAATATATTTTAATAATAACATTATTAAATTTCAGAATGAACTATCATTCTCCTTTGGTTATATAGTAGTTGTATTACGGTTTTTTACAATCACAGGAAAACATGCTACTCTTAAAATGCTCATGTTGACAGTTGGAGTTTCTGTGTGTAAAAGTTTTTTCATTATATTTGGTATGTTTCTATTGGTGTTTTCTTATGCTTTGGCCGGTACTATTTTATTTGGTAGTGTAAAATATGGCGAAGGAATTGGCAGGTATTCTATTTTATTTTGTAACTTATAAAAATGTTGTTCTAAACATTTATTATTATTAATTTAGACTTGCGAACTTTGGTTCTCCTGTGACTGGAGTTGCTATGTTATTTCGTATTGTTACTGGAGAAGATTGGAATAAAATCATGCATGATTGCATGATATTACCTCCACAATGTACACCTGCAGCTAATTATTGGCAAACAGATTGTGGAAATTATGCAGCAGCTTTAATTTATTTCTGTTCATTTTATGTAATGATCACTTATATTGTTCTTAATCTATTAGTTGGTAAGTAATTAAATTTTATATTGTAATTAAGTTTTTATTACAAAAATATTTATTTATTTATTTTTATTTTTTGCTTAACATTAAATCCTTAGAAATCAATAAATTTCTATCACATTTTTTTTTTATTTGCAGGAAAAAAACTTTTTACTAATTGCACTAAACTATATTTTAGAGACTGTAATTGTTGTCTGAATAATTCTAAATTTTATTATTTTCAAATCTATTTCTTCAACATTATTTGAATGTAAATTATAAAATGGACTCTGAGGCAATCTGTAAAACTGTTTCCTCTTCTAAAAAAATAAAAAATATTATTATTTTATGAAACCTAATAACTGTTCCTATAAAGCCTTTTTTGCTCATTATAATGGTGCTTTATATGTTTTACTGGCTACCGTGCCACAAAATAAGAATTTATTAGAATATAACACTTTATAAAAAAATTGCTTTGACACCCTTTTGAGGAAATAAGTATTAAGTACAAACTTCTTTTTTTCTTATAGCTATTATCATGGAAAATTTCTCGCTCTTCTATTCTAATGAAGAAGATGCTTTACTTTCTTATGCAGATATTAGAAATTTCCAACATTCATGGAACATTGTTGATGACACTCAAGCGGGTGTTATTCAAGTATATAAAGTGAGTTTGATAATTTTTTTTTTATTTAAAAATGTAAGTTATACATCATGACTCATAAGTTGTTTGGTAAATTTATTTTTATTTGGAGTAAGTATCAAAATAAATAATTTTTACAATTCACAGATTCTCATCAGTTAAATATTTTTATTTTTTTGCTTTAATTTTTATTTAATAATATATATATAGTTACTTGCAATATCAAATTTCTTAAATTGTTTGTTTATAGGTCAAGTTTTTATTACGCCTATTAAAAGGTAGATTAGAAACTGATCCACAAAAAGGAAAAATGTTATTAAAACACATGTGCTATGAATTAGAAAGGCTACATAACGGGCAAGAAGTGACATTTCATGATGTTTTAAAGTAAATAAAAATAAATGTTTATCAAAGGTTAACAATTAAAAAAATAATAATGTATTTGTGTATAGCATGTTGTCATATCGTACAGTTGATATAACAAAAGCATTACAACTTGAAGAATTAGTAGCCCGTGAAGATTTCGAAGTTAATATTCAAGAAGAAGTTGCAAAACAGACCATACGCAATTGGCTTGAAGGATGTCTGCGAAAAATGAGAGCTGCTAATGTAAATTATTATTTGACATTTAGGGGCAGATCTACAGTCAAAGACCTATGGGACAGGCTATTACAAAAGGCCACTTATTAGGGTTGAAACTGCATTATAAATGTATACCTTGTAACAAAAAATACTGTATTAATAATGTATATTTTAGTTTATTCATAATTATTATTGAAAACATTAACATTTATTTTACTTTATGGATGATTCAGTCAAATATGGGGTCCAGCATAGAAATATTTAACTGTACTATACAGTTGAACTAGTAGTGTCATTTGGGGGGGGGGGGAGCTTATGGTTATTTTCCCCAGTCTAATATTAACTTAAACCTATAGTCAACACACTTTAAAAATATGAAAAACCAATTTTGTCAACAAATATTAACTGTTATTCAGCTGATTTCCTGAACCCTCTGCCCCTGATGAAATACAAGAAATAAATAATATAATACAAATATGATGTATGAAATTCAAATTTTTCAGAGACAACAAGGTAGTCTCCTAGCTGGCTTACGTGCAACCAATGAAATGATGCTAAGAGATTTTGAAGAGAAACAAGCTGTTACTTATGAAAAAGAAAATGAAGAAAAAGATCCAAAAGTATGTTAATTTAAAATATTAAAAAATAATTAAGTATTAATTTTATCTTTAAAATATTTAATTCTTTTTACCACTCAATTTCAGTTTGATGAAAATCGTTCTAAGTTAAAGTCATCTTCAGGTATGACCCGTTCAGATAGTGTTGGTAGTGGATCAGGGCGCAAGTATTTAACACCTACATTATCAGATCCTTCAGAAAAGGAAAAAAATCGCAAAGCATCTTACAGAAACATAAAACCATTAAATATGTCAAATTTGAATGTATCATCTTCTTCCAAAGATCAAAGAACTAGCTCTCCTAAAGTTTCAAATGCAGTGAAGGAAATACATGAATGGTGGTTAGATCAATTAGAACATTGTTCAGATATATCCTCTAGTGATGATGATAATTATTAAGTAATAAGTATAAAACTGTATTGTATTGGTCAACTTTTGTTGCAGTTTTAAGTTCAATTCACAGTTACTGCTTCATGTCAGGTGTTCAATTTTTAACTTTTTTGTTAATATTTAAGATTCATATTTATGGTTACAATTATAATGTAACTTATTTTTTAGTTAATGATATAACATTATTAATTATGGTATCAAGTAAATAAATGCAGGATTATAATATTTTTAAAATATTTGTTCTTAGTTTCTACTGGCAATTAGAAATTATAAGTAAAAAAGGCTATAAATGAAATGAATTATTAATCTTAAATTGTCATTTAACAGTAATTGTAATTGTGTAATACTTATAAATGGTTTAGTAGTAAAATATTAATTAAGTAAATAGTTATAAAATAATACTATTAGTAAACGAAATGCAAAATATAATAAAAAATAATTAAGAAATGTTAATTTTTTTAAATAAAAGAGGTAACTTTATAAAAATTTAAAAATCTGTTTTTTTTTTGTGATAATTTAATAAGATTATTAAGTTCCTTAAAGTTGTCCATTTTCTAAATGAGCAATGAAATCTAAATAACGTCTCCGTCCATCAATGTACAACATTGAATCTAAAAACAAATATATTTAATTAATTAATATATATTCATCTATTTTTGTTTTAATTTATTATCATTACCATGATAGTTTTGAGGTAACACTGCATCAACATTATTGGGTGCAACAAAAACATGGTAAAATGAATTTGAAGTCAAACTCTTTTTACTTTCGATTTCATCAACTTTAGCAATGATTTCTACTATCATTACTCTACCACTAGTATAACATATCTAATAGATGAAATAATAATTATTCAAAATAATGATAGATCACATAAAAATTAATAATAATTTATGTTTACTTTTCCAATTAATTTCAGTTTGCTACCGATTGGAACAGGTTTTCTGAATGTAATGCTATTAATTGCTTGTGATTTAACTCTTGTTTTACTATGAACACTTGCAACTAAAAATGCAAGTTCAGTAGCAACACGCATCAAATAACCACCAAAAACAGTATTGTGTAGATTTCGGTCCTTAAAAAAATAAAATAGTCTAAAATGAATACGAGCAATATCAAATTACTTTTAAGTTTTATATACTTCAGGATGGCAAAGGATATTAGTTTCAATTTCAGTGTCATCCATCCACACACTACTAGCTGGCAATACTTTATTACCAATCATTGGTTCTTTTCCATCAACTGTTTTCATAAATGTTTCATATATTAAGGATTGTTCTTCTGGCGTTGGCATTTTATTTAATATAGAGTTTTGTCGAGCCCTTTTCCTATCTTCATTTTTTTCTAAATAAAATATTTTATATTTTTGTTTACACAGAATAAATCATTATGATTTTTTATACTTAAAAATATTGAACAGCATATTTACTAGCAGAAAGAATCATTAAATTTTTTTCACGTTCTCCTACTGGTTCTAAATGATTTACCATGACAGATGATGTGTTTGTTGGATCTCTTGCAACAAATACAAAATGAGCTCTAGTAATGCGCTCAAATTTACCATCATTTAATTGTTCCAACCATAAAGTGACCTCCATTGAAGTTTTTCCAACATGTGTTACTTGTCCACTGATGATTAAATCTTTATCAGGCTAAAATATTGAAATTATTATTATTATTATTTTTTTTTTTTAATTAGCTTCTAAAATCAATGAAGAATAAATAATACTAATTGAATTAGAAAACATAGATCTCTTTTTCAGGATATGTGAAAGGTTGCTGCTGCCTACCCCCGCCACCACTGAAAGTTAATTTAAGCGTTCAGAATTCTGGTTAAAATATACACACGAGTGTCTAATATTAAACTGTTTAGTTAAAAAAATTTTTTTTTTCCTGTAAAAAAGTGACTGAATAGCCATTTCTTAATTTTTATAACAGTTTTCATAATACAAATTTAAAATAAATTACGAAAAATAAAGTAAAATACATAACACTTAAAATGGTTTGAGTAATGTATTGAAATACGGTAAATAAAAATAAATAAAAACGTAGTCATATACCTACTTAAACGAAAAATAAAATTAATTTGATAAATAATCATAATTAATCATATAACGATTCCGCGTTCAATCGAGTTCTAAATATCACCAATAATGTCTTCTGGATTTTAATTTATAGCCATTTCTTGCTCTGTAGTTGAAAGCTATTTAATCTCTTGAATCATTGTACTTCTGAGTTTCATTAACACACTAAACCGTTATTATAGTATATAATATGTGTTTCAAAAATAAATTAAAATGTCTAGGACTGTATATAAAAATATAATAAAAATTATAATGTAATACAAAATCACATAAGACCAAATATGTCATCATTTTTATTTATTTTATGTATTTTTAGAAACAAAGCTCTATGTTTAGGGAATGCAACTGCATACCCTGCATACCCCCTGTGCATACCTTTGTTAGGAATATTGGTTCTTTTAGAAAATGTTTAAATTGTGAAGTTTGTTGAAAAAAAAGATTTTAGAGATTATAATTTTAGGTTATTTAATATTATTATTCATAAATTAACAATGTTATACTTATGATATAAACTTACAAATCTATTAGCATTAATGATAACATCGTCTACCAATAATGTTACAACAACATAAGGGGTTGGCACGTCCGTTGGCTGTTTAGGATTATAAATATGTTTCATTACAATCCAAACTAAAATAAAATGGTAATTAATTTTTTTATATTTATTTATTCTATTTCTTTTTTACCAGCAAAATGATCCATATCTTCTAACAGACGCCCAATTCTTAAGCCTTTAAATGTTGTTGTATACTTGTTTTGTAATGATAAATCTGTACTCAGAGGAACTATTGCTCTATCAAAACTGTCCTACAATAATTATTTACAATAAATACTATAGTATGTAACAAAAAAAAAAAAAAAAAAGGAATCACAATAGCAATCAGTTCTTGTTATTGATGGTTAAAGTCCTATCAAACAGCATACTAACTCAATACCATTAATATACAGATGCAGGCTGCAATGGTTTTTTTTCACTTAAAATACATTTACTACATACAAATCATTTTTTTTTTTTTAAAAATACAATTAAAATGTTGGCAAATCAATATAATATTCTATACAAGTGGTTCCCAATTAGTATGAAGCCGCCGACCCCTAGCTATAACTTAAATTGGTCCGGGGACCCCTCTTTTGTAAGAACTTTTTAATTTTATATAGTTATGAAAATGAAAAAAAATTTACGATTTATTTTAATTTGACAAACCTTTTTGTAATATTATACACACACATTATATAAAATATATATGTTAGCGTTAATGTATGAAATTCCATAATTCTATAAAATAACTTGTTATTCTATAGAATTACTGGTACTTTCAGTTAATGTATTGAATGAATCCATAAATACATACTAACTAGATATTTTATAAACTAACAATAAGGGTCTACAACATATTGTACTCGTATTTAAAACAATTATTATATTAAATACAAATATTCATTTATTTCACGTCAATTTATTAGAATTATTAAAATCTTAAATAAATTACAAATAAAAATAAAAAATCAATAATTATCAATAGTTTTATAAAATAGTATTATAAACTTATTTTATTATTATAGTTACAATTATTAAATTATTTTTTTTTTACAATTTACAATTTATATATTAGTACACGAACTTTTTCGATGGCATTTAGAGTTACAAAATAAATTATTTTTTAAACATATGCACCGTTTTGTGGTGCACTTTTGTTGACATGTGCATTTGAAAAACCTATAACCATTACCTAGTGATTGGAATTCGGATCCAGTTAATATTAAGCTGGATTCTAATCCAGTCCCGGTGCTCTATTTAACGATAACAATTTCATTCATTAGCGACAACCCAATCAATATTCTATACATTAGCTAGGTAGTAAAACCTTGTAATTTATACATTAACGTGCATATTTAGGAGTTTTATAAAATAACTACCTAGTTATTTAATAAAATAACGTGTTACAAACATTAACGCTAACATATATATATATATATATATATATATATATATATATATATAATAATTTCACTAAAATAAAATAAAAATATCATTAGAGTACTATACAACCACGGACCACCAATTGGGAACCTCTGTTCTATACTATATATATATATACTAGTATATATATATATATATATATATATATAGTTTACAGAAAAGTATCAGCCAAGTTTTCTTACATTCATAGAGCGAGCCGGTAGTTCACTTTGATCTTTAGGTAAATATTCAGATAACCACTTTCTATCTTCATTTTCATACTTTCCAGATAATCCCATAATATTAAATAATTTCAATTTAACTGAAATTGTATTAATTTGTAAATTATTTTATTCAAAAATTTTAGTAATTAAATATTACTATCTTCCATAGTTTGCAAATTAGAAATATCTAATGGTGGTGGATGTGCATCATTTTTCCAACTTCGGTAAATTTGCTGCATACATATTCCATGTCTTAGAGATTTTTTCATTCTAAAAACGAATTTAATTTTTAATTTTTTAAAAAAAATCATAAACTTCATGTATAAACCATGTTTATTCAACATATTGGTGGACACTCAATATTTTATTTTTTTCAGAAAAATGTTTAAAATAATAACATTTTTTAATTCCTGCTATATCACTACAGCCGTAATATATAAAAATGTATTTTTTATTTATTTATGAGTACAGTCAACTCTCGATATTCTGATGGATCAGACCAGAGGACTGACTCGATTAACGAAAACGCTGGACTAATGTAGCCTTACGTAATAACCCATTTTTACTTATTAAAAAACCTTTATTTTATTAAAACTTATAATTAACACTTATACTAATTTTTGACTTACTGTGAATTAATTTTTTATCGGTATAGGTTTAAAAAAAATTATAAATTTGTTTTTATTTTTTGTATAAAATAATGCTTATAAGACAACATTTTAAGATAAAATACAGCCAGATTACTGGACATACCGAATTATCAAACGACTGGATTATCGAGGGTCTACTGTATTTTATTATAATAAGTAATCTATAAAATAAATAACCTATTATGATAAAAATAATTGAAATTAATTATATTTACTAAAAATAGAAACAGCAATTGATGAGTAAATCCAACAACGTTATGTTAATCATATTTTTTTAAATATTTACATAGGGTTATATTCAGATGGATTACTACCAATTAAGATTATACCTTAGTATCCAATACATCAGGGATGGGAAACTGGCGGATCGTATCCGGCTTGCGTACTTTTTTTATCTGGCCGGCAGTGCCGGGTCAGTAGCGTAGATACAATTCTTTTCTGGGGGGGAGGGGGTTTAAGAGTAAGTTTTTAAGTGTTCGTAATATATCTTAAAACGAAATCATATATAATAATATTACATTTAAAATAGTGTTATTATGTCCCGTATTAATGAAAATTATTTTGTTATTCAATTTTTAATATATACCTAATCATAGTAAAATCAAAATATTTTACTATAATATATAAATATTAATAAATAATAATCAAATATCATTAAAAAAAAAATCTGTGGGGGGGTGGAAACCCTTTACACCCTCCCCGTAACTACGCCACTGTGCCGGGTTAACAAATTTGCCGCATGGGGGCAGATTTTAAAATACTGCCATTCACCCCCTCCCACCATAAACCAAAAAAAAATAAAAAAAAAAATATATATTTATACACAACATAGTTAAAATTGTTTAATTAATATATATTTATAAACATATTGTAACATCAGTCATTTTTAAATGTATAGATCTTAGTAGGAACTAAATATAAATACTTTAACACAAATGTATTCAATATAAGAAATTTACAACTATTATTTAGCTTTCTGTGTGCAAATTCTTTAATAATTTAATTCTAATCTATAATTTTTAGGACAATATTCTCAATAAACATTAGAGCCAACGATGACATATTCTCATTAGATAATTATATTCCTTGGTAGTTCTTGACTCTTTTTAAAACTGAGAAGGATCTCTCTCCGCTGGCATTTGAACATGGTATAGTTACAAAAAATGTTAAAGCTATTTCCACAATAGGAAATTAATCGTTTAACTTTGATGCTGTAAATGCTTCAAGAAAACTGTACATAGATAATTTTTCATCTTTTGAAAAATATTTCATTATTGTTTTAAATTGTATAATTTCGTTCTCAAGGTCTGGTTCTAAATTTTCTCTATAAATATTTACTTATTACATTGATTTTTATCGTAAAATATCATCATCAATTCCTTCCACATTTAAAAAAAAAAAACAAATAACTCATTTATTGCGGTGTATGCATTTTTATGAGCTTTCAACTCATATTGATTGAAAATAAAATATTAAGCACGTTTGTTTTTCAGTCAATCTTGATTCGTGAATCGAACTTCACAACGACGACAACTAAGACCACGAGACGAGAGAGAAAGATATGATAAAAACAATTGCTTGGTAGTGTATAAATAAATTATTTGAAATTATTAATAATAAATTTAATAATCTGATGGCTATGAATTATAATACATCCATAGAGATATACAGTGGCGCACACAGGAATTTTTCGCTAAACCTCAGTGGGTTAAGGTAAAAATATAACACATTTTACAATTAATAAAATTATGCAAATCCTTAATATATTTTGACTTAAATAATAGCATTGATAATAGAATAGACTGTTCTATAATCAATTACACTAGGTATTCAATACTAGCTCTTCATATTTCAAACTTGTAAAATTTGTAAATTTTAACCTAGACATCAGAGAAAATTTCGGGAGTGGGGGGTAAACCCCTTACCCCCCCCTCCTGTGTGCGCCACTAGAGATATATAAGGAATGCAACGAAAATAAAAATGCATAAGTCCTAGCGCTATATAATATTAATATGGTTTTACTATTAATACGCTGAACACCCACTGACGAAATAACTGAGCGGTTTAATATAATATATTATTATTATTATGATTTGATAAAATTGTTATTAATATTTTTCAATAATAAATTAATCATTTTTCCTAAAATCTAATATATACATTAGAAAAAGTCAAAACTTTTGTTTACGCCGTCAGCAAATTGCCGCTCCTAAAACTGTGCCACTCGGGGCAGCTGCCCCCTTTGCCCCTCCTTTTAACCCGACACTACTGGTTCGTGCTACATTTTTAAATCACTTTATAACATCTTAGCGTTTATTGGTATTTAATTTAATCACGTTGATCGTAAATATAGATATTATATTTTTCTCTAACATTGAACTCAAAATAAATCATTAGATGCCTAAATATAATATATATCCATATCGGAATAGTTAACATAGTTATTTTATTGTATTGGTTCAGTCGTAAAATTAAATGATTTAAAATAAATGCTAATGGTCAATAAACTTTCTTTCATTTTTACTTTCTTTACTATGATCCGCAAAAGTTATAAAAATTGACCCTCTTATTACTTTGAGTTGTCAGTGCCACAAAAACTGGGTGTGCCGCACATACGGGCTCCAAGGCTTACATAAATCTGGGGGGCCCCTAGTCCCAGCCTGAAATAAACTACATTTTACAAACACACAATTATTTAATAATAAAAACAATATTTTTTGAAATTCAGGTAAATTATTATTTCAGGTTGTTATAATATTTTAGAATAATATAATATTTATTTAACAATGATTCCATTGAGTATTTGAATAGGTATACAACATACCTACCTAAACTACTTAAATAAATTTAATACATAAATATGTAGTGAAGTATAATATACAACAGTTTTAGGTATTTAGTTTGATATATATATATACATATATCATACACTAACTGATGTGAAACGTGTTTTAAAACCTAAAAAAATTGATATTTAAATTGAACAAAAAAAAAAAATCCTAGGAAGGGGCCCAATATAATTACCGAACACGGGCCTCCTATTTTGTAGTTGCGAACCTATGAGTTGCCCATCCTTGTAATACATAATCAATTTCACTACTATAGTGTAAATCAAGGCCATAGCAAGATTTTTTTTTCTTTTGAGGGTGTAGTATAAATATGAGTATAAATATGTTTTTTGACGATCAAATTTTAAAATTTCAAACGTAATAGGCATTTAAAATCAATAAATTTTATTTAAAAAAAATTTCGTGGGTCAAACCTAAACTAACCTAAGCCATGGGGGTTAAATATAAACAATTTCGCTAAGTAGGGGTGCCAAATTATCATACCGTATTCTAAAATAGGGCGCACAAGATACTAGTAAAATGTACGAAGATAATGAGCAGAACTAAAGATTTTAGTATTACGCTTTATGAAACCTAAGACTTTCAGTGCTTTACAGGCAGTAACATTAATGTAGTGGTTGAAATCAAGAGAGGGACTGAAATGTATACCAATATCTTTAACAATAAAAACACGCTTCAAAGGCGAGCCATTGATGTGGTAAGTATTAAGTGTTTGGTTATGACGTCTAAAAAATGTCATAATTTGGCATTTGACTAAGTTCAACCTCAGACCAAGACACTGGACCCATTGTGGAAATTCGTCCAGTTAATATTGCAGAGTCAGGTAACAAGAAACATCACTAAAGTTCAAATAAATTTTGATATCATCTGCAAAGAGGAGAAATTTAATCTTGGTGATTAACTTACTGATAGAATTAACGAATAAGATGAAAAGTAAGGGACTAAGATGACCTCCTTATAGGAAACCAGAGGGTATATTATCTAAGTAATATATAATATAATAAATAAGCATAGGCGTGCGCAGACTTTATTCACAGGTTATGCAATAAGAAATATAGGGCCCCTCACAAATAAATTTTCTAATCTTCCCTTAATTTATTTGCATTTTCTTTTAACGCATATAAGATTCAAGTCACAATCTAAGTTTTTGCATATATACTACGTAGCTTCTTTACTTCCCTTAGAATCTAAAATTACACATCATTTTACAGTAGAATATTAAACAATGCACTGTAGAAATAAGTAGTTTGAAATTTGATTTATATTTATTAAAAAAAAATTTATTATTTATTTAAGATCAAGTATGTACTATATTGAATGCTTTTGAATAATTTTAACATATTTATAATGTTGTTATTTTATGGAGAGTACTTAAAATCTAAAGTTCAAGTCTTCTTTTTATCGGCACACATGCTTTGAATTCATCTATTACATCTTCAATATTGATTTCTGATGCCATCTTTTGCTCGATAAATATTAACATCAGTGAATCAAGACGTTCTTGTAACATAGTGTTCTAAGTTTAGACTTTACAATAGACAATTTAGAAAAATCCCTCTCACACGAGCAGCTTGTCACAGGTATTGTTGCAAATTGTGTTAAAGCTTTATTGAAGTTTGAAAATATTGTTTTCCGGTCGTTTTCTGATAACCAATTCAGCCATACTACAATTGTTTTAGTTGATAACCCTCTAATAGAAGTTCTATCAGACATATTTGTAATGAGCTTAATTTCAGACTCAAATGTAGTATTCAAATTAAATTTTTCCTTCAATATTGAAATATCATTACTATCAAGCTTTAATTGATTTAAATTTCCTGTGGCGGTAATTAAATTTAAAGTTTCTTAACTTAATAATAAATATGGGCCCCTCCAGTGGCGTAGCCAGGATTTTTAAATGTGGGGGGCTAACTACTTTTTTGGATAAGTAAGGTAAGAGAGGATATGAGAATTCAGCCTTACCCCCCCCTCACCATCTACCACCAAGTTTCTAAACGTAATTCAAGCATTTTAGTATAGTTTTAAAAATATTTATTAATATATAATTTATAATAATAATAATAATAATAATTTTAGTTTCAGTGTTCAGTCACTTGCTCCACTTTGACAGCTGCATCTTCTTAGGCGAATTTCTGGCAAATTCAGTTATTATTTCACTTTCATCGAATTGCTCTTTTTTATTTATATTAGCCATAGCTAACCCATTCAGTCTGTTTTCCGAAATGGTGCTTCTTAAAAAAATTTTTAAGCGATTAAGTGCTGAAAACGTTCTTTCCGGAGTGAAAGAGGTAACTGGTAACGTGGCGAATAATTGTAAAAGTATTTTAATGTTAGGTCGAAGATTGGTGTGATGAGAGAGTGAATCAAGAGCAGAATTCGGTTTTGGAATAGTATTTTGACTCCATTGTTGCCTCCATATGAACAGGTTAGCTCTGATTGTAGATGAGGTATCATCATGGAGATCTTGGACATATATTTTAGCAGTTTTTATAATATTTTTATCGTCATACATATTTAAATTGGCCGGAATAAGTCCTTCAAGTGGCATAACATCAATAAGCCTTTGATTAAAACGAGCATCCATTGATTCTATTAAATAGTCAAGATACATTATACATATAAACACGGCCCATGGGGGGGGGGCTATAGCCCCCTTAGCCCCCCCCCCTTGGCTACGCCACTGGGCCCCTCACATGAAGCCGCAGACTATGCAGCGGCATATCCTGCATACCCCGTGTGCACGCCTATGTAAATAAGTAATAATAAGTAACTATATAATAATCAATTTTTTATTAAAAATATACATTTACTCATCTAAAATTATAATATACTTTAGAGTTCTGGTATTATTAGAAAGAAAAATACTATAATTTAATTGAGTAACCAATAATATACTTGAATACTTTCAATTTTTACTAGAAAAAATTTAAAATAACAATCCATTATAATTGTAATACTAATTGTACACTGATATTATATGAAAGTATCCATTGAAAGTAAATTTATAGCTATGAAAATATCATCTAATTTTGAAAAAAATGTTTAGAATTAAAATTTGATAAAACTTTTAAGTAAGTAAATCTATGAGTTTATCCATCATATCTAATCACTTTTAAACAATAAATTGTTTATTTATCAACTATATATTATGTTATAAAAAAATTTAAATGTAAATTAATTATAGCTTCATGCATAATTTATCATTTAAATTAATCACAACTATATTAGATATCATTAACATATGTAATGTTTATTAATTTTATTATAGTAATTTAATAATAATAATAATAAGCAAAATAATTTTAAATAGTATTTCTGAATTGGTTGTTATTTGTTATTGATATGTTTTAATTAATATACACAGTTGTCAATAACAACAGATCTTCAAGTTTTATTTTTGTCCTAATTTTAACAAAATATTTAAAAATTTGACACAAAAGTAAATAATGCCACAAGGCTCTTTTCTCATCTAGGTACCTTAGTTACTATTCATAATTAAATATGACATAATTACCCAATCTTAATTTATCATTTCATAATTATATTTTCTTAACAAAACAATCATATTCTATATTATAATTCAATTTTACATAAATTTTGTTTATAACTTAAATTGTTTTTTTTATGTCGCAACATATTATATCATTTTAATAAATAATATAATCCTTAAGCTGATTATTATACTAAAGTATTGCTTTAACTAATAGTATGCTTAAATTCAAAATTCCTACCAATTTGAAAAATTCATCAACTAAGTTTTTCCTAATCTTTTTACACATTCCATGGTTTCATATCCCAAATCTTAAAAGATTGTATGATTTAATAGGTATTAGATTTTTTTCATAAATTTTAAGTTGGGTCTCATTATTTTGCTTTTTAGTTCTTTGGTCTTAGAGGAACACATTTATGACCTCTTAGACTCTAACATCTCAATATATTTATTGATTACCATTATTTGGTATTAAAACACCAAAGGAAATCATAGCATGGTTTGTGAAATTTATCAAATTTAGTGTACTTAAATATCTAGTGATATCTCTATTCCATTATCATTCCCATTACATTTATTAAGCAATTCATTAATTTAGTATCTCAATAATGTATATATGCACTTAATACTATATTTAGTAATAATAGTTAAGCTGCGTTTTTTCATAAAATAAAAGCCATTAAGAAAAAATAAAAATGCAAACTACTTTAATACATTTTAATGAATTATAATAATTTATTTATTAAGAATATTGGTAGGTACTTACAAAGACTCTGAAGATCTAAGGATGTTACTGAATATTTTAAGATTCATTGTATTTAGAAAAATTGACTAGAAAGAGTTGTTATAATAAACATATAAAATTTGGTTACTTGAAAATACAGAATATTTTGAAAAAAATTGTGATTTAAATCTTACACCACTTCTCCGATCAATTACAATTTAAAAGTTAGATCATAGATCTTTACAGATCATCATTCAACTTTTAACTATCATTTTATACTTTTGTAGACGAGAATGACTAAGCAGTGACGCAGTATGCACGAAACAATGACGGTGGTTGCTTTTAATTAGGAAAATAAATGAATAATAAATAATTAACAATATACAAAACAATAAACAGTTCATAGACCATTGGCCAAATACCTTTGGATAATGTGAATGAACGATAAAAAAAAGATATGATAAAATTACATAAACATAATATATTATGTCTATGTAAAATTAGTGACTAATCTACTATCATAGAACAATGTTATCTTTCCGAAATTATGTTAAGACCATAAACGTTTTACTATTGAGTATTAGGTCTATGGTTAAGACACGAAATTATTCTAGGATATCCATCAGCTGATTAATTAATTTTTTATTTTATGACTTTTAATCAGTTATTTGCTCTTATCAACGTTTTTAACATTCGTTTTCCTTCAAAGTTACGAAAATAAATTTATGTATTATTTCCCATATTTTACATGATAGTTATTTATAAAAAGCGCCATTTATAGTGTTATAATGGGACACACTTGGTCAGAATATTTTGCTTCGAAAACGACTCCGTTGAGAGATCAGCCATCACAATTTGAACCTCATTTTGGATTTTCAACGGAAAGACGAGAGAAAAGTAATGTATCTTCATTTTAATAAATGTTTCATTCAGTGCTTTATTTACGTTCAAACCATTTTTAGAAATGATTGCTTCATTAGCCGAAATGGAATCAGCAAAGGTTCCATTAGACGCCAGAGACTTTTGTGCACATATGTTACTAAATCTAAGAGGTTGTATCAGAGAAAACTTTCCGTTTAACAACAATTGTCACCACGAACGAGAAGAATATTATGAATGCCAGTATCATGAGTAAGCTGTTCAGTCATTTTATGTATTAATCATGATTTTAAATAATCAATAGGTAATAAGATTATGTGTCATTAGAACTGTGAATTGAATGAACTGTAGATGTGTTCATCAAATTTGTCAATGATATTTACTATATTGATGACTAAACTATGAAATTAAATTAAATAATTGAAAATCTATAGAATTAGATAAAAATAAATAAACTATTGAGAATTTAATAAAATATTTTGCATTATATTTTGTCTAGAAATTAAACTTAAATTTGTTAAAATTTGTTTCTTGTAATTATGTTTGTGTATTTGTAAATTAAATATTTTACTAAGGACTAAATTAAAATTTGAGGAACTTACATTTAAAGTCTGAGTTTTTTTATTACTTGTTCATGTTCTAAATATTTGTTTGCCTAGCAGACAAGGCCGTAATAGAAAAAAAAATGTTGGGGGGGGGTCTAACATTATTATTTAATACAATTTATAGTTAATAAATTATATTTACCGCTAAAATGTTTCTACTTTTGAAAATTTTGGGGGGGGTCCGGACCCCTGGATACCCCAGTTACAGCCTTGCTTGCAGAAATTGTATAACATTATAATTTAGTTCTCTGCTTACCTAAACTTCTAGTTAGTATTTATTTAAAATTAAATATTCAATATTTATGTATCCAAATTTTAGAAGAATACCCTAATATCCTAATATCCTAACCTGCTTCATTAAAAATAGACTTAGTTTTTTAGGATAGACAAACTAAAAATTGTTTTAATATAAAAATAATTCGTAGCTAGTTAAATTTATCACTATATTTGATAAATTATACTAGTATCTTTATATTAAATCAGAATTATTTTATATAATTAATATATTTTGGAACTAATTTTCTACCTCATACAATTTTACATGAACTATGAATTAAACTTCAAAAACTTAAGCATAAAAGTTTAAAATAAAGCTATACTACTTTTACCCATAAAATTATTTTAGTCATTAAAAAATTGTTTATAAATTTAGTTACTTGGATCGTATGAAGGACTATGAAAGAGAAAAGCGATTATTACACAGAAGACATAATTTGAGACAATCAGGTGCACCAAATGCAGAAGAAGGTACTATTAGTGCTTAAATGATATTTAGGTAATTATAATTTCTATACAATAAAGTTTTTGTAATTTTACATTTTATTAAATGAAATGTAGTTACTTTTAGTTTGATTTTAGTACCTTGGTATAATTACAAATTAAATATCGATTAAAAGGTTTAAATCAAGTTTTTGTTGTTTTATTTTTCATAATTAATTCATACAGAAATTAATAAAATCATTATATACTATTTACATTACTTTTTTTATTTATTTATTTTTTTTGTTCTATAATATTTTTGTATAAATATAGAACTTGAGTTTTAAGTGAGAAAAAACATTTTCTCAGGATTTAAATTTTAAATTATTGGTGTTATTTTAATGATATTTAAATTAAATTTATTTTTAGTTAAGTATTTTATTATATTAACAAGATTTCAATAATAAACATAATATAATGACGTCAACAGCAGTCTGCCAAAGGCTTCTCGCCATCATTATCATACACCCGGTCGGTGGGGCGAACTGTTGCCGTCAGCCAGATCAGAATTTGCTTGCGGTCTCGCGGTTGTTGTGAAAACAAATGCAACAAAATTAACTGAGAAACCCAAATTTATAATTATGCAAATGATACCTTCCATAAATTTGTGTTATTTTAGTCAGAATCTCACAAAAGCTATTCCTATCTCTAATAGTCAATATATGATTTTTAGTCAAATTTAGTATCTAAAAGTATTATAATATGAATATGTTATAATAATTATGGTATGAAATATGTGGTGAAGTTATTAGTTCTATAAATAATAAATAAATATTGTGTAAGAATAATCAGTGCTTGGAATTTAACTTTTATTTCCGAAAAAAAAATCTTAAGTATTAAACTAATAATTCTAAAAATTAAGCTAATACTTATATTTAAATTTATGTTAGTACCTACTTAGTGGCTATAACATGACTCCACTTTGGTAATTTTGGATTGTTATTTGGTTGAAAATCGAATCAAAAAAGATGTTATATGGTACAGATTTTGAAGTAGCAATCTCATGCACTTATTATTAATAATCAACCACTGAGATACTGTGTCTTTTCGTTTACAATTTTATACCCATATAGTGGTGGGTATCAGCACTGGACCTCTGAAAAGAGATAATGCATTACATTTTACTGAACTGGAACGCTATGCTTGAATTTATGACTAACTAGAACTGTGTTTATTTACTAATTTTTATTATTTTACTTAATATACTATATAATTACTTATATTACTTAAATACATTTAACAGGTTAGATTATATTTTTTTAGTTGTGGATTTCTATTGTAGTATAATTTTAATCCTGATTTTGGTGACTATGTGACTATGAGAGTTATGTTTTAAGAGTCACAATTTTTTACATTCTTGTATATATAGATACTACTATAGATCTATAGTGCTGAGTATTTTTTCTATTTATCTTTACTATATTGTCTTGTAAAAATAACCAACTTATAAATTTATAATTTTTTAACTTAATTAAGTTAATATTTGTCCGAGTTAAATAGTTAAAATTATTGTTAGTGACCATTTAGTTTTCTAGGTCAAAGGAATTTGGTTTTTTTTTTTATAATTCAATAGCTTTAGTGTTTGATATATTTTAATTTTACTGTTAAAAGTAGCATCAAAATTAAATTAATAACAAGATTTAAAAGACTTGTAATAGATTATAAAAACAAAAACAATATTAAAGTATTGTAATATGCTTGAAGAATCTTCCAGAAGACCAAATCAGTATTGTAGAAAATGTCTTGTAATATTTGAGCATATTTGGCTAACTCTGTGTTAAATCTATGAGTTAGTTAAATTGTGTGTAAATATTTTAACATTTAAATTCTAAAAGAAAATACTGTGTGAAACTAAGTGAAGCTTATTTTGTATTTACCAAAACTACAGGAGACTAAAGTCTATAATATTTTAAAATATAAAAGAATAAAACAGTTTTGATAATTTATAAGTTAAAAAATAATTTTTATAGTTCAAATAACATTTATAATTTATAGTGTAATGTGTTCTAGCAACATTTTATCAATAGTCGGGAATTTAACAATTAATTAATTCCTCTCAATTAAAATGTTAAGTCCATTCAATTTTACTTTTTCATTATATTTTATAAATTCAAGAAACTAAAACTTAAATTATTTTATAAATGCAATAAAGTAACATTATTAAAATGATATACTCAAGTACAGAAAGTGTATTCATATAAATATTTATATTATTTAATGTAATCATTGTATTAAACTTTCAATAATTAAAATAATATACATTAAAAAAATATTTAATAATAAATTTACATTTTATATTATATTACTACATTATATTTTATAATCATATTGTTAAATATTTATTACTCATAAATGTATGAAAATGTAATATTTGCTATAAAACAGCGTTTCTTATCCTTTTTTGTTGTCTAAAAAATAATATAATATACATATTATATAGTTTATATATACAATTTAATTTTAATGTGAATCTTAGAATTTTTTGATAACACTTAATTTGGTTCCACAGATGATAAGTGAACTCGTAACTCCTAAAACATCTACTACAATACTTATTTTTAATGAATGTGTATGACAATAAAGCTTTTTCAATTAACACAGTACTCATTATCAAATAATAAATAATTAATTAATTCAAATACATCAATTTTTACGTTTTTGGCCATTACCCTTTTTTTTCCGAGTACCCTGTCGTATCTTTTCGCCTAGTACTAGGGGTGCGCTTACCCCCGGTAGAAAAACGCTGCTATAAATGATAAAAATCCTAATAATATACTAGTCCATTTTATACTTCGATTTAATTTAAGTTAAAAAAATATACAAAATTGGTTTCTAAGGTAAAATTAGAATGAATTTATAAATTATATATTTATAAATGTTAATGACGATTTAAAATATATTTCATAGAAAAAATTTTTTTTTCAAAATCTCTATTAACGAAAAAAATAAATTTTGTAAACCAAATTGTGCTACTTATAATACTTACATATATGTATTTATTAATCTAATAAACTACCAAAACATAATAGGTATAATAAGTTATACTATACATTTTCTTATTAAATAGAAAATTAATTACATTTTAAGCGATTTAATTTATAGAAATATGTAAATGATAAAAAAATTAAAAATCTTTTCTTTTTATAATTACTTACTATTACTATATTAGGAGTACCTGGAAGTGTGACAATCTTAATAATCTATTAAATTACTAATAATTCACAATTCTTAATTTAATTTTTAAAGATAGATAATATACTAACAATTTGATTATGATGTATAAATTAGATGGATTGTACAATAATGTAATTACATTTGAAAAATACCACATAGCTCAAATGTTTAAAAAAAAAAGTTTAAAAAACTTAAACAATAATTAATTACTATTTTTTGAGAACTGTACATTTTATTACATATAAACATTATATCTAATAAATATATAATAAGATTTGTTAAACATTTTTTTCAGAGAAATTACAAATATTTTGAAGAAACACAAAAAAATATGGTCTATAGGTATATTTAGAATGTGTTATAGATATTTTATTTTAATTTATGTAATACAATAATCAATAAAGCTCACTTTATATTGATAAGTAAAAAAATGTACAAATTAATTTAAATACTAAGTAAAAAAAATAAGAAAAAAAACTTACAATTAATCATAATTGATACTACAAATTAATTTATAATATTCATATTATAATTTATACTTCTGGAAGACATCCCGTCAATAAGTACTGGTTTCAAATGGTGCTAGACAGTATATAACTCTACCCACCAATACGAAACCAGTACTCGCATTAGGGATACGTTTTCCTGCTAAGTTAATATGTGTACAAGAGAGTCTTACAAATACTACGAGTATCCTTCTGAATCCTTTAACTTATATACGCAGAATGGTTTTCTTTGTTGTACCTAAATGAGGTATAGAGAGAAAAGGTACAACACTGCATAGTAGTCGTTTGTTTCCGTCTGCTTGATTCATAAAAATCATATTATATTTTAAGTTTTATTGTTTGAAAATATTTGGCCTTAACTTACGTGCGAGTATGATTTCCTCAGGGTTGATGGGAACGCATGGTAATGCAAGACGACTGTCGAAACCCGATAGCTGGTGGCTTACGGTCTCGTACCACCGGTGTCTGGTAACAATATTATAAGGCTTCTTGTTGGTCAATGAATAAAACTTGTTTTGTCTTTCTTTATTTTATTTTTTTTTCCAGTTAAATCCAGCGAAAATTTTAAACTGAGCACTTGTCTTCGTTGTTTTAATTTCATGATGAGCGATTTACAAACTGTAAAATATATATTAGATACTTAATCACCTTGGTTTTATGCAAAGTAGATTGACAAAATTGTTTTTTTCATTGTCAATAAATTAAACTATTATACCTTAGCTTAGTTTTGATTTCATATTTTTTTATTGGATATTATTTAAATATAAATAAAAACATATCCTGGATATTCATCTTATGAATTATATGTTTATATATAGTGATTATTCGAAAAAAATATTTTAAAGTGGGTATAATCTAATCGTTAATTGATTAATATAAAATCTCGCCATTTTAATATAAATATTCCAATTTATTATTTAAGTTTAACATACCTACTCATTAAACTAACATTACGGGTATACTTCATAATTTAACTGATTGGATGAATAATTAACCAATAACCTGTCTATATTATAGTGTATAAAAACAAATTGAAATAAAAACTATTTATCTTACACGTAATCGTTGTTTTGTTCGAAAATGTCCAAATTTCCCAAATTCTATTAAACTCGGATTGTACGTTTTTGTTGGTTCATTATTTTTTAAATTAAATATATCTAAATTTAATGACCTTATAACCTAATACTAAACATCATCAAACCAATTATGTCCACTGAAATTGCTCAAGGCCATCGGAACTTATATAATGAATAATATAGATGTGTATTTTGATACAATAACTAGTGGTTTGAACAAATGATATACAAACAATTTTATTCCGCGGAATAAACGCCTTATGATTTTCTTAAAAAATATATTTATACAATTTTAAAATGGGGACAGTTATTTATGATAGCAATTATTAAAATACAAAACACTGACCTAATATATATAATTTATACTCACAACAATTAAAAATAAAAATAAATGATTATTTATGTATATTCTTCGAAAAGTCAAGTTATTCTTATTCGTTAAATTATTAAACTATTTATAAAAACAAGACTGTTATAAATGTTCCATCTAAATACACGTATATCACTTAAGATTTGCTACGAAATTATTGTAAAAATTTCTTTCACCAAGCTTACTTTTTGTCGTATATAGTGTTTAAGTACAATATTATTAATTTTTGACGAAACGTGTGCATCACCATCTTTTTGGGTGATGTCGTTTGGACAAAATGCTAGGAAGGAAGGATGGATAAAAAATCGGATTTTGGCCCCCACTGATCTCGTTATATGTGTGTATATAGTATACACATGTCTGTTTCACCCGCTTGATCCGCATAAAACTAAATAATTTATATATACGCGCGGTGCTCAGGTATCTACTACGCTCAGGTAGACACCAGCCGGCATATTTACTACATACATACATATATACATACGTGTGTAATGATAGCGGCCTCCCTTGTACAAATGCAATTTGTGAACCAACCCCCGCGGGTTTTTAATCCACAACATTCCACCGGGTTGCTATTACAGATGTAATGCCTCTAGTATTATACTGTACATATATATATATATATATATGTTATTTATATTGTTGTTAAATCGCTTTACGATTGAACACAACCATGTGTAAGTAATTTTTTTATTTAATTTTTGGTTTGCCCTCTGCCAATAAGGATGCGTATTATTAAAAACTTACAATATAATATCTATAAAGCGAACCTAGCTACAATAAGGGCAGCATTTGTTTATTACATAGTTGTATTCTAATAAAACGTAGAAAAAATAAATAAATATGTTACCGGCACTTCCGAGTTGGTAGCAGTATCAAGTGATGTATACGCGATATGCGTCTTGACGATGCTGTTGATCGTGGTGGGAAAATGCAAACATGTCACGCAGTCCCTGCCGTGGTCGTCGTAGCATTTCGGACGTGTACACACACCACCGATGCGGCCGCGGCCGCGAACGAGGGAAAACGCGAAACGATCGCGAGGCGCGCGCCAACACTACTCGTCGCGTCAAGCAAGCGCGCTCCACGCACGAATCCGCTGCGCATCGCGCGATCGGTTTTTTTTCCCCTCTCGGTTTTCCGTGCGGCGACGGACTCGCCCGATCGGTGCCGTGCCCGATGAATGAACACCCGACCGAGGCGAGCACACACACGTTTCGGTGGGAGTTTCGGACCAACGGCGGCGGCGGCAGTAATAATCGACTGGCGGGAAATTTTTTTTTTCTCTCCATTCTTCTTTTTCTATTCTTCTCCTCTCTCTCTCCGTCATCCTTATTCACGGTGTGTATCCTCGTTCTTGCGCGCACACTACTGCTGCAGTGTTGGTTTTTAATACTCACAGAGTGCGTATACACGCACGACGACGCCGCCGCCACACGCGTATAATTTATATAGGGGAGAGTGGATCCCTTTTCCTGCTATTGTTTGCAGTTCTCCGCGCAGAAGTCGTCATCGGTGGTGGTGGTGGTAGTGATGGTGGTGGCGGCAGCTATATTGCGGGGCCATCGCGCGAAGCCAAAAAAGGGTGTACGGAGTGAGCGAAAAAATAGTAAAATAGCATCAACGCGCATATACGTATATATTTATATAAACCTTTTACGTGTATCGCACGCCTATTGTACGGCGTCAACCCGTTATTAATACTTATACCCGTGTAATAATAATATATTTTATTTTAAATATTATATTCATAAATGTATAGGGGAACATAGGGTGGGAATACATGAGGTAAGATGGGACAACTGGATTTCTCCATAATCAGTGATAATTTTATAAATACAACATCTTTGAATGGTTTTGTGGAGGTATGTCAGGCGGTTTATAATAAGAAATAAATGTTGACTGATTGAAATTGCATATTATCAGTGTTTTTTAATTTTTGCTTTCTAACCAGTTAATGTGTGCAAAAGTTAACATCATTCTAAGGTAAGTAAAGTTAATTTTTTTTTAACAAATTTTTTTGATAGATTTATACACTTCCGCAGTTTAATATTATTCAATAATATTTAAACATATAAAGAATTTTATTGTATAGGTTTAATTGAAAATTATTGGTTATCCGGGGCATAATGAAATAAATTAATGGGGGCATGACGGGACATGCCTATTCCACAAAGGTCAAATGAAGAAACATCTATTCCTAAAAGAAAAAGTTTAAACAGAGGAAAAATCATTGTTTTTACGGAATCCTCATACAAAAATGAACTTGAAAAAAAATAAGAATGGTTAAATCAGTAATTAAAAGGAAATCATTAAAAAAAAAAATAAAAATAAACCCGTCATAAAAAAAGAGAAGAAAAAAAAGATACTCAATTCATACACAAATAACGAAGATATGTTCACAGAATTCATTTATTGTGGCCATTATTTAGCAGAATCAATTGAAGATTGGATATGTTGTCAGAGTTGCGAAAAATGGGCCCATTTGTCTTGTTCTGGAAAGGATGAAGAAGAAAACATCACGTACATATGTGAACATAGTTTATAATTATAAATATTTATGAAAAGTTAAAAATGAAACAGTTAAGTCTGAGAAAGTATTATTTTTAATTTCTAAATAGGTTTTTTTTTTGTTATTTTAATGTTAAATTGTATAGGGTATTTAATCTTTATTAAATAAATTATATTTATTGTTAAATTTAACTTTATTTTATATTTGTGTGATATTTGGTACCTAACATTATTTATTTAGATATAAGTATGCATATTAACTTATTTTAAAATGTGTTTAGAATTTGTGTCTCATTTTACCATGATGTAGGCAAGATGGGACAAATGGCACTTTTTTAGGTTTAATTTTTTTTTATTCAAAAACAATACCAATTGTTTAATGTAAAACATTTAAAACCTAACAACTTTGACTTTTTATTAATATATAAATCGAAAATTTTGTTCAAAAATTCATCATACTACAAGAAGTTTAACATTAGGTGTCTCGTCATATCCCAGGTTCCCCTAATATATTTTATGTATTATGCGTCATCGCCGTCCTTTGTGTTACGATAATCACAATATAATATATACTTGATTAAATGTCATTATTTACAAGCCGTTCGCTCGTAAATATATACAAAATACAATAATAGTTTTGTGAAGTACAATCTGTAATTCTAAATACGCGAACATTTTCATTGTTTTTATAGAAATGTGAAGTATGATTAAAAAATTATGCGTCTGAATATTAGTACTTGTGTCGTAGAAGCAGGGCCGCATTTAGGGGGGGACACTGGATACAACTTCCCTGGGCACCAGTTTTTTTGGTGACGCCAAAATGTTATGGTCGAAAATTTGCTCACTTGTAAATTATTGAACTTTTAAAATTATTTTGAAATTATTTTTATTTTTTTTTTTTGTTTTTAATAACAGTATCATAAATTAATGTTATTGTATTTAATTTATTAATATAGATTATTAATGTATTTATAGCAATATAGCTATCAGCGATCCAGAATATTATTTATATACAGTCGACTCTCGATAATTCGAAGTTGACGGAACTGTAGAAAAATTTCGAAATACCACGAGTTCGAATTGTTTAGTAGTTCAAAAAAACGAAAGAGTAAAAAAAAAAAATTCGAATTACTGAGTTAAGAGAAAAATTTTGTTTTTATTGTACATAATAATTAATTATTTCAGCAAATTAGGTGGTATTAATTATTTATTGTTTTTAAAATTTAATTTTTAACTTTATAATAATTATACTACATAAATTAAATTATTATTTTTTGAAGAAATCTGTAATGATTTTCTGCTTCATTGAATTTAGTTTCATTTTTTCAATAGTATTTTTTGAATTTTAGTCACTCATTACAAGAACTTTACAACTGACCAAACGAAACTAAAATAAAACTACATTTGTGTAATGGCTATCGAAAAGATAAATTACGATTAGTGACGATTAAGAAATAAATCGATAAAGTTCTTACAATATTAATTCTATAGTTATCGAAAATAATGTACTAAATTTCTACACGATTGTATAATAAATCATTAACAAAAAGATTTTAAAAATACAGATAAAATTTGCTGTATATACTTTGAATTTCCGAGCGATGAACGGATGATACTTCGAATTATTACGTGTTAGTTGCAAGTTTTCCCAAAATTTAATTTCGAATTACCAAGTGTACTTAAATACATTGTTTTTATTCGAATAACCGCGAGATTTTCAAGGGACCGAGCATTTACTTTGAATTATCGAGAGCCGACTGTACCTAATATTAATTCCCAAATTTGTTATGATAATGTTAATAAACATAAGTTATTTACAATAATACGGCGTATTATGTTATCGCGTGGGCGTGCCTATACACAAAAACAGCATTGATTTTAGAATATCTAAGAGATTCATGAGGATCTATTTCCTATATTTTCTATGAGTAGGCCCCTTAGAGCAGTGGCGTACCTGTGAAACATTTTTTTTTTTTTTTTGGGGGGGGGCATGAATTAATTGCACAATTTTTTATGGTTATAATGTAATCTAAACTTTATTATAAGTTATTACTAAATACTTAAAACTCGTGTTGATCACTTGATATCAATGATAACCACATTATAAAATAGTGACTATATGTGACTATCACTCCTAATCCCAATTCGGTCGAATATTGATATTTTATATTACATTGATAAGTGATATCAAACACAATTATAATCAGTGAAAATTAAAAATATTTATAATTTACATTAATTAAGCTGAAAAATTAATTAGCATTATGGCATCAAAATTCTTCTCGGGGGGGGGGGGGGGGAATTCCCTGTTGCCCCCTCCAAAGGTACGCCACTGCCTTAGAGGAGTGCCAATTTTTTTTTTCGCCGGGGTGCAAAATGTCTAAATACGGCACTGCGTAAAGGTGTCAGATCTATATAAATTCATTTTTAGTGTATTGAAGATTGAAGATTAAGAATATATACATAATAACTTATCATATATATTATATTCTTAATCTTAATAAGTAATCATTTAAACTACAAGCAAAAACAAGTTTTCCATAAACAGAAACAAAATAACTTGATGAATAGTATTTTTATTTTTTAACCTAAATCAAAAACCCGGTTAATCGTCTTTTTATCATATTATATCGAATTTATTATTTATTTATTTTTTAACTCGTAAAAAATCCGTGTTTTACTATGTTAAATTATGGATTTTGTATTTTTGTGAACATTTTTTTTGTTCAAATAAAAATTCATAATATAAGTTATCCTTAAAAATGGATTTTTTTTATTTGAATTGTTTCACAGTAGAATTATCCTGTTTTTTTTACAGTAATAGCCAATTGGTGTAGGTGCTTTTACCGTTTTTGAATTTATATATAAATACATATTAAATAGGTTTATGTCCATAATATTTATCGCATTGGTTAACGATTACGGCACTCTCCAGCACTTTCGCTTTTCCAATTATTATATTCTTGTCTCACCGATTTATGTGTTTACGTGAATGTGTATAATATATATTCACCTTCCCGTAAAATCCTTTAACTTGTTTATGTATATGTATATTAGACCCCCTAAAGTTCATTATTTTGTCAAATTAATTCAGGGACGGTCACCGCGGTTAACCGTTTAAAACGACCTTAAAACGTGACCTGTTATTTTTTTGTTTATTGACATATTAAATGAAAATAAAGTAAATTGTTCTTTAAATTGTATATATACATATCAAAGTTCAAATAGTCAATAGGCTAAATGTAATCACAACGTGGAACCTTTTCGATCAAAGAAATCTATGTATTATACCGATACCGGGTATATGTGTATCATAATTTTGTACTTCTAAGTTCCGTTGCAATAAGTGACTATGTAAATTTTTCAAATTCAATAATTATTGTGTTAAAATATATTAATTTCACTACCATATGCATTGATGTGTGAATATGGCAAAATGAAACGCCAATGTAAGAAAACCTCGCCATTGCAATTTTGCTATCTTTTTATCATTTTATCCGGCGATCATTTTTTATTCATATTACTACTGACCTTGAAACTCTTAGAATTTTTACTTTTGATTCATAAATTATATTCAGTAATCAGTATATATTATATACTATTAACCTATTTAGTATTTTGTTACATTTTTTCGACTACCATTGTTAATATCAAATCTCACTTGAATTATACTTTTCTACTATCAAGATTAGATAATATAATATAATATTATTATACACATTACAAGTTTTATTCATCTCGAATTACGAGAACAATATTTTTATTTTTGATTCAAAATTATATTCAGTAATCAGTATATATACCTGCCTATTAACCTATTTAGTATTTGTTACATTTTTTCAACTACCATTGTTAATATCAAATCTCATTTGAATTATACTTTTCTACTATCAAGTTTAGATAATATAATATTATTATACACATTACAAGATTTATTCATCTTGAATTACGAGAACAATATTTTTATTTTTTTCTTCATTGACAAAAACATATAGGTATAAGATTAATTGTAATTTAACTAAAATAATTAACATCAATAAGTAATTGTTCTTATTGTTATAAATAATGGATACAATAAGTAGGTGTTCATCTAATTTCATCATAATTTTACCGTTCATATATGACGTATTCAATTATTGACTATTGTATGTATTTTATGTATCAAGTATAAAAATATAATTCATGTATTTATTATATATCAAGTATACCACATAACATTACATTGTATTTACTTAATACCTATGTATTTTTAACTGTCGAATTGTATTTATTACAAAAAAATTAGTTGCAATTTTGTCTTTAAATTTTTAAATTTAAATTATACTTAAATTCTATCATTCAGTAAAATATTTAATTAAATTAACATAGACTAAAAATAAAAAAATATATACTACTCAATAAATAATAAATTCGTATTGATAGTAGTAATACCATGACAGCATAGTATTAATGTTACGTGTGATCTACCAAATGTACAAGATCTCAACAAAAAATTAACACAACTAACCTTTAATCATTGAATATCATATTAAAAAGAAAATCACTATGTGATTTGTCTAAACAATTTTAATACCAATCATAGTTACAGATAATTGATTACTGTGAAAATGATTAAATAGTATATTAGAAGTTAGAACTAATATTTCAACAATCACCATGAAAAATTTGCATGATCATGCATCGTGCAGCCTGTTAGAAATTTAATTTAAGATTTTTAACAGAATTGTTTATTTTTCATTACTATTTATTCCGTTGTTATTTTTACT